CACACGTGCTGCGCATCGCAGTGCGCAGTACAGAGGGCAGTTTTCCCATGAGAAATAATTTCTGAACGGCTCCAAGCAGCTGTGCTCTGTGTTTTCAAGAGATGGCCTACACGTCCCGCGCTCTTAACCACAGTATAAACATCCTTCTGTTCTTCACAAACTGAACATCACCCAGTGCTCCTGCAACTGCTTGTAGCCTTCTGGGGCCTGCAGGAAGCAACAGGAGTCCTGGGTTTGGAGCCAGAGCCCTTAGCAATGGTGATGCAAAGCTGTACAGTGGTACTGGAGGACTTGGTTTAGCAGATCCAGATTCCTCCAAGTGCCTTGTACTTCTCTGTGCCGCGGGGCAAGTCTTTCAGACTGAGATTTAAAACGTGAGTGCTTAGTTTAGGCAGTTAATCATCCACAGCTCAGGACCGAGACACATATCTAATCTTCAGGCAGTCAGGCATACTTTCGCTTTGGAGCATTTTCCTCAACAAACAGGGAGTAAAATCCGGTCCATTCAGACCTAGGAAAGTGAGGGAAATCATTAATATCCACAGTTGACCAGGCACAATGCAAGCATCCCCGCACCGCTCCCCATCGTCACCTTCCTTTTGACCCGCGCTCCCTGGCTGCTCTTTCTGGAATCAGTCTTGTCATTATTGGCCTGTGGTGTCTGTGCCAAATTCGCACAGCGGCGTTTTGACAAACGAGCATCCTGTGGAACCTAATTGGGGAATGTGGAAGGAATCTCATTGTAACCCACGAGCAGTCCCTATTCAAGAGATTAAAGGCCAGCTCTTCCACCCCCTCGCTGCGCCCGGCCCCTCTTTGTCGGTTAAGCTGAAAAAATCTCAAAATCAGATTTTTCTAATGGCCACTGTCCTCAGCATCGTGTTCCAGCCTCGGCAGCTACGTGAGACCTGTGCAAAACCGAGCTGCTCCTGCAGCAATCAGAGACACCAAACCTAGGTGGGCTTTGAGGTGTTTGAGTGCATTTTGATCTGTGAGTTGGCATAGTTATTATTAATTATAATTAATGTTATCATTCATGTTATCATTCATGGAGATCCATTTGGAAAGGGCAGTGTCAGGAGGAAGGAGCCAGGCTCTGCTCTGGGATGGCCAATGCCAGGACAAGGGGCAATGGTCCCAAGCTGGAGCACAGGAGGTTCAAGCTGAAGATGAGGCCAAAGTTTGTCAGGGTGAGGGTTATGGAGCATGGCCCAGGCTGCCCAGAGAGGTTGTGGAGTCTCCTTGTGTGGAGACACCCAAAGCCCTGGCCGTGTTCCTGTGTGACTGCTCTGGTGATCCTGCTCTGGAGGGGTTGCACTGGGGGAGCTTTCCAGGTCCCTTCCCACTCCTGACATTTGGGATTCTGTGATAGTTGGGGTGACGCAGGTTTTACACAATGTTTGGCCCAGAAGGGGACATTTTTCTGGGGAGGTTTAGGAAGTGACCACCTCCAAAACAAAAACTGAGGCACAGCCGGTGTGCCCGTGCTTCAGCCATCGCAAGACGTCAGCAGCTGAACTCCAAGCTGCCTTCGCCAGCCGTGTCCCTAAGGCAGCTGAGAAACACTCTCACCACCCGTCCCACCACCTCAGAGGGTGGTCAGCAGCACAGGACACCAAAACTTGTGGCAGGAGCAGGCTTGGTGTGAACGTGTGCCCATGGTCTCTGCTGTGAGACCTCTGGTCTGCCCAGGGCACCACCCCAGCCTTAGGCCTCTGCCGTGTCTGTGTCCCCAGCGAGGCCTCGAGGACGCTGCCGTCCCTGGAGTCCATCCAGAAGGTGTTTGAGCAGCAGCTGCACCCCGGTCTCCACCAGCGCTCACAGGTAAGTCACTGGGAGGTGGGAAAAGGAGAAGAGAGAGCGGGGTGGGTGGGAGGAAAGGGTTGCACAGCAGTGACGGGTGGGATTTGGGGGGTCAGTTACCATTGCTGTTCTCTCCAGCCTGTTCCTGGCTGCAGTGCAGAGGGCACACCGTGAGTTATATCCCCACAGTTTCACTTATCCCACAGTCCCTCTGCCTGCTCTCCCTTCCTGCTCCACAGGAAACTGCCTGAGGACTTCCATTCCCCGTCCTCCCTTAGCCCGTGATCCAGGACTGCACGTTTCTCTCTCCATGAACTTGCCCGCAGGGTGTTTCACTGCCAGATCCTTCCTTCCCCCAGCCCACTTCAGTCCCATGGCATTCCTCTCCCTGCCGGTAGCCCAGAAAACCACAAGCTCAGGACTGTATTGAGCCTTGGGCCTGGTCACGCAGGCCTGTCCCCCAGCAGCGAGCTGACTCCCGCAGCTGCCTCTCAGCTACGGATGTTTGCAAATTTGTCCTCCCACTCTCTCATTCTTCTGCAAATTCAGCCAAACTCTGCACCCTGGTGCTGCCCTGTACAGATGGGAGCAGCAGAGGCACAAGGGCTGCTCCTTGCCCTGGGTGCAAGGTGTTGCTGGGGCCAGATGGCTGCGCTGCCAGGCCGTGCTCTGGGGGTTTGGTAATGATGCAGCTCTCCTTGTTTCACTTGCGGTTATCAGATGCTTGGTGAAGCCAGTCCAGTCAACATCGTGCTGAAACTCAACCAGCTGATCTCTTTGCTGTCTTCCATTGAAGAAAAGGTAGAGCCTTCAAGCTATTTTGTGTTATCTTCTTGTCATCTTCTGCCTCCGGTAATGCTTTTGTTCCTCAGCAGCGCAATCCTCTGCTGCAGTAAGATTGCTTTGTTCTGCCTTCATTACTCCTAATGTAGTGCAGAGCCACCAAATGCAATTTGGAACAGAGAAATCCTTTTCCAGGTGAAAACACTGCTGATTGAAGGTCCTGATTCAACACACCGGCGCTCCCTTATCCCCCCTGTCACTTTTGAGGTAAATACGCTTTCTAACGATACCGATTGCAACGTGGAAGGACAGGAATGCAGATTTACATCAGTAGCTCAGTACCTGGCAACTTTGCCACAGAGATAACAGCTATTCCTGGCTGCAATTGCTCTAGAGATGTCTGGAGAGATTGGCATAACAACAGTACAGTACCTGTCCATGAATGCAGGCAATGTTGCATCTGTAATCTATGGACTGAAGTGTAGAAGATCCCTTATGAAAAAACCTCTCTGTTTTCCAATAGGTGAAAGCTGACTCTCTGGGAATTTTCTCAAAGATACACCTCAAGGTTGACGTGGAAATGGGAAAACTGGTTATCAAGAGAGCTAAGGATGGCCCAGAAGACAAGTTTTACACCCACAAGAAAAGTAAGGTCGCAAAGGCTGGACCGGGTCCTCAGGCCTGTGGCTGTTGGGGAAGGTTCCCTCACTGAGGGCAAGGTTTGGTCCCCAGTGCCAACATTTTGACTAGGTCCTGGCTGTTGTGCAGGGCTCCAGTCGGTCCAGACTGCACATCCCCGGAGCAGCCTGCAGAGAGCAGGGAGTTGTTACTGGGGTAACCAACTTGCACAGGGTGTTTCAGACCTGCCCTCCTGCTCTAAATGAAGACGGGGGCAGCAGGACTGCAAGGGAGCACGTTCGGATTGAAAATCCCCTGTAAAGCTGGTCACAGCAGACCCATTTGCTACTGAAAAGCAACATTACTCAAAAAGCAAACATTCTGCAGGAACATGCTGCCTTCTGGGATGATTTTTGATGGTAAAAAGCCACATACTCAGTAACATTTTTCAGCACATTTCTCCTTGATTCTTTTATTTTTCCCTTTTGTATGTGAATCGATATCTTTACTGATGAGTAATGCCAGTGTGGCCTGTGAAGGGCCAATTCAAACACCTTCTCTTTTTTTCCTGCTGTGTTTCTGGCCAGGCAGCTCACCAAGATGGAGCCAAACAGGGTAGGATTTATCAGAGAGTTAACGATGCCCTTGAGCTCTCTCCTGCTGGAAAATCAACCTGTTGCTGGCAGTGATTGAAAAGATTAGCTTTCGTGTGTGGCCTTCTCCAGCTGGTGCTCATAATTACTTAGCTGCTATTTTAGATGAGGAGGCATCACCTCTACCACCAAACGAGCTCTTACCTCCTCTTTCACAGATGGGGAAGGAATATATGTGGGCTGGCTTGGGATGCAGAGACATTGCCTGCACTAAGCTAAGGCTTTGCTTCAGGGTGTAGGGCTTGGTATGGACTGGAGCTCCAGCAGAATGAATCTGGGGGTCCTTTTCACTTCAGAGTCCAAATCTGTTCCTCCAGGGAGCAGGATTAAGCAGCATTAACATGTCCTTATGTGAGACAAAGCCTCAGACATAGGAAACAGTGCAAGTCCTGAGCCTGTGAGCAGGGTCCTGTTAGTGCTGGTGGGATTCTGGCTTCAGTGACCGCAGCTCCTAACACCCAGTCTCTGCTCAGTCTTGCAGCTTATCAAGTCCCAGAAGGTCCCTAACAAACTGGTGATTGTGCTAGAGACAGAGAAAGAGAAGACGCAGCGGAAGGAGTATGTTTTCTCCGATTCCAAGGTACAGACACAGCCTGGAGCAGGTACCTGGGTGAGGGTGGTACGAGGAGGTTCCTCGGCAGAAAGAGGAGAGAGGCAGGAGAACAGAGTCTCAGCAAGGAGAGGCAAGGAGTCAAGTGAGGGTCTGAACCTGCAAAATGGTTCATATGGACAAACAAGAGGCAAGCTGGGCTTTCTTCTGACCAACTCAGCACTTGCTGAAGTAATGCAGGAGCTGAGTCCCTAGGAAAGCACCACAGGAAAGGCAGGCTCTTCAAAGGGTTTGGGATAGCGAAGAGCTAATCTGCTCTTGAGTGTGCTGGGAATGTGCTGGTCCAGCTGGTTTTTCAAGAGGCTGTGTGGAAGGAGTTAAGCATCTCGTTAATTGTCTCTGCCCCTCCCTGTCTAGAAGAGAGAAGGGTTCTGTCAGCTTCTGCAGCAGATGAAGAATAAACACTCGGAGCAACCAGAGCCGGACATGATCACCATCTTCATTGGCACCTGGAATATGGGTATGGGCTCCCTTCTGACGCTTCAGACACTCACCAAAATGTGTGCTCACTTGCCACGATGAGCTCCAGACACCGTTTGTTCTGTACACCAGGGTTGTCTTCCATGGGTACGGGGGAAGAGCTGATCTCTAGGCTTATCCTTATGTGTTTGGACACTTTCCATGGTTCCAGTCAAAGGGCCACACAGTTGGCCCTGATGGATACTGAAGGCTTGCTGCAGCGACAGGGAATTGTGGCTGGCACAGACCTGGTGTGGCACTGTGCAGTATCCTCCACCTTGCAGAAAGGGCAGGAGCCGTTCCCATAACTGCACATCAGCTGCTCCTATGACCAGGGACTGCTCATGTCAAGCCTGGGAAGAGAGCTGAGTATCTCCAGTACTTAGAGAAGGGGACTGTAGAACTGATGTTACTTTTCCCATGTTGGAAAAAGGGCCTGGTTCAACTGCTGCAAGCTGAGCTGTCTGTGCTCAGTCACCCCTTGCACGTTACCTAAGGGGTGAGGTAAAGCAAGGAGTCCAGCTCCCTGCCTTTACCCCTGGCTCCCTACCTTTACACCTTGGTGAGTGGTGAAGCAGAGGAAGGTGGGCAAAGCAGAGTCCCCCATTCATCAGTGAACCAGGAGGGTTCACGTCTCTGTCACATTAGAACAGTGTGCTCTGGCTGGTATAACACTGATAGAGGACAGAGCGGATGTGCAGCTTATTATTGCTGTCCCCATGGGTTGTCTGCATCCTGGGTCTGACAGAGCGTACTCTGACTGACTCTGCTGTTTGGTTTGTTACTGAAAGGTGCTGCGCCTCCCCCAAAGAAGATCACCTCCTGGTTTCTCTCCAAGGGGCAGGGGAAGACCCGCGATGACACTGCTGACTACATTCCTCATGACATCTACGTGATTGGCACCCAGGAGGATCCCCAGGGGGAGAAGGAGTGGCTGGAGACCCTGCGGCATTCCCTACAGGAAATCACCAGCATCAGCTTCAAAGTGGTGAGGAGTTATCCCAGCTAGTGCACATAACTCAGTGCCTGTTGTGCAAACAAGAGGCAAAGGAATAAATGGCATTTTGCCTACACCTCCTCCCCTTTCCTCCCTTGGTAGTCACTGCTTTTGATGAACTGAATCTGTCTGTGGAGTCCATGAGATCCTCCAAGTCACGGGGTGGTGATGATTTGACCTTCATAAAGGAGGACACTGAAACTTCCTGAGCTAGTGCTAACCTAGATCTCACCCTAGGCTGCTGTGCTTTTAGAATAGGAGGTACAGTCATACCAGAAACTGAACTTTATTAATCCAGGTTTGGACGTTTCTGAGTTTAAGCAATGTCAAGAAACAAATCTGAGCATATCTGGAAGGCCAGAGGAGAGCAGGATTTATGACTCTCAGAGAGATTGGGAAACTGCATTTTGTGCAAGTAAGGCAATCCAATGATTAACTGGAAGACAGCACTAGAAAACGGCTAGGTCCTTCCTCCCACCTCCGATTAAAATGATTGAAAGCATATCCTGAACACAGGAATAAAACCTGTGTAGGACAAATACCACAGAAGGAGTCAGGAAGGCTGCAGCTGCATGAAGAGATGTAACCTCAGCTTTCCCGTCCCTGCAGATAGCCATCCATACCCTCTGGAACATCAGGATCGTTGTGCTGGCCAAGCCCGAGCACGAGAACCGCATCAGCCACATCTGCACGGACAACGTGAAGACCGGCATCGCGAACACGCTGGGTGAGGAGCAGATGCCGTGGCGTCCAGAGGGCTCGGATCTGTGCAGTCCGAGCAATGCTGGCCCTGGGCTGGAGCAGCTCTTTCTCCTCAGGGCTCCTGTGGCTGCCTTTACGTGGCACTGGTGTTACCAGAGCTATATCGACCAGCACTGGTCATACCTTACCCCATGAGAGAGGCATGCTGATCGTGTGTATTCTTAGCAAACACCTTTGCCTGGCTACTGCACCTCTCTCCCTTTTATTTTATAAATAAAATTTATAGTTTATATATTATATTGATAGTTATAGTTTATATATTACTATTTTAGCATCCTTAGAAAATTTGTTACCACAATCTGTGCTGTATGCAACAATTCATTCTGTGCTGATGAAGTCAGCTTACTTCTCCATCCTCCACTTAATTTGTGCTAGGTGCTTTATTACCTGTGCTAGGCTCAGCCCAGAGGTGGATTGATTTCTTGACATTTTTTTGGCTTATCTTTTTTCCAGGTAATAAAGGAGCTGTGGGGGTGTCATTCATGTTCAATGGGACCTCCTTTGGGTTTGTTAACAGCCATTTGACTTCAGGAAGCGAGAAGAAACACAGGTAAGATCCACCCTCCCCTCCCAAAAATGCGTATTGACCCAGGGTTGAATTATCCAGGCCATGCTTGGGAGGAGAGCCCTGCAGACAATCACAACTATGGTTTCCTGGCCGTAAGAAATTCTTCAAAGTCTAAGACTGTGTCACCATTAAAATGAGTGGTATCACCATTAAAATGAGTGGTGTCACTGAGGAAAACAGTTCCTCGATCTATAGGGTTTGGAGAGAGATGGGAAGGCTCTTCCCATCCCCGAGTACTGTGCTGAAGGGAGCTGCAGGCAGTGCTGCCTGGGGAGCTGCAAGGGGCATGGCTGAGGGATCCTGCTAAGGAGCACCAAGAGTTGTGCAGCACAGAAATATCTCCACGGTGGCCAGTTCTCTCCTCCCGGCTGTGAAACGAGTTTGTGGTCTGGGCAGGTTCTGCACAGCACGGGGCTGGGAGACAAAGATTCCAACATCAGTGGGAGAGCTGTGCCCACGCTGGCAGGAGCCGGAGCAGTTGCAAGGAGGGGTTTTAAAAGCAAAGAGGACTTGAAATTGAGAGGTTGGCTTTGCATCTTTCCCAGCGCAGGACCCAGAAAGCAGGTGGTATGAGATTTCAGCCACTGAGGGAGTCAACGTCTGTGGAAGAGCTCCCCAGGGGCTGCAATAGCTGCCAAAATCCAGTGACGAGTTTGCTGCCAAAAGCTGAAGGCAAAGTCTAGTGCTGGGTTTCTAGGACATGCGGCTCAGAAAAGGACAGCCTCGGGAGGTGACAGCAGTGGCTTTAGGACGGCTTTCCAGCCTTTCAGTTCAGGTGGAAACAGCCTGACACCAAGCTAGAGCAGCTCAGAGCTGCTGCAAGTGCCACTGCCCCGTCCTCCCAGCAGGATGTCCCCTGCTCCCCGGGCCACACACAGCACTGGCTGCACCACGAGAGCTGTGCTGGTTACTGGGTGCACCAGGGAGGCTGTGCCGGGTTACTGGGTGCACCAAGGGGGTTATGCTGGGTTACTGGGTGCACCAAGTGGGTTGTGCTGGGTTACTGGGTGCACTAAGGGATTTGGCACAAGACTTGTGCTGGTTACTGGGTGCACCAAGGGAGTTGGGATGAGAGCTGTGCTGTGTTACTGGGTGCACCAAGGAATTTGGCACAAGAGCTGTTCCATGTTACTGGGTGCACCAGGGAAGTTGTGCTGTGTTACTGGGTGCACCAGGGAGGTTGGCTCACCACCAGACCCCAAGCACATCACCTCAGCCTGGCAGGGATGGCGACTTTTCGGTTTCAGGTCGCTCCTCTCTACACGTTGAGCCGGATCAGCTCCTGCCTGGTGAAGCAGCAGCCTCTGCCAGCCCAGGCGTCTGGAAATTGCGTGGCAATTTAGTATGTCAGGCAGATGTTTCTTGTCTTGACAGACGCAACCAGAACTACACGAGCATCCTGCGCTTCCTGACGCTGGGAGATAAGAAGCTGAGTCCGTTTAACATCACTCACCGCTTTACTCATCTGTTCTGGCTGGGAGACTTGAACTACCGCGTGGAGCAGCCCCCGACGGTCAGGGACTGCGGGGATCCCTGGGGACACCAAACGCCGTGTTGCTATGGGAGCGCTGTCTTTTCCTAATCCGGGGCAAGAGGGCAGAAAGAGGGGAGGCAGAAGGGATCCTTGGGGCACCAGTGTGGCACCAGTGGAGGGAGAGCAAGGAAACCCCCTCTGACCTCTCCAGGGGTTGATGGGTCCAGGACATGCCAGGAAACATGTCCCCAAACCTCCCGACTCTCCTTCCCACTGTGAGCAAGCATCTGAACAGCTTGATCCAGAGATTGCCTTTCTGCTCTGTTTGGTTAGCTTCTCACGGCTCGGAAAGGGCAAGCCATAAATACTGCATAGGTTTCAGTAGGCGGGAGACAACAGAAAACCTCGTGTTGATGTGCATCTGGCTGTGTGTGCACGCTTGTGTATGGGCATTTCAATGCCTGTTTTGATAGATGAACGTTCAACCATGCAGGAAAGACCAGGGCCTTTCTGTGCAGGGAAAGGTGGCGAACAGGCAGGGGATAGAGCTCTGTGAAACCGCTCAGGAGCGCTCACAGGCTCTCCAGTGAAAAGGGAGTATTTATGAGAAGGTTTTGCATCATCTGCAGCTCTGCTGTTTCCCTGTTGGCAGGAAGCAGAGAACATTATCCAGAAGATCAGGCAGCAGCAGTATCCGGAGCTGCTGGCTTTCGACCAGCTCCTCATAGAGAGGAAGGACCAAAAGGTGTTCCTGCAGTTCGGTAAGGCTCTCGGTTTGGGGGCAGGTTCCTCTCCCATTGCCAGCAGCTTTTTCTGCCAGACTTGCTGTGACAGAGCATTGGCTCTGAGATGGGGGTTCTCAATGGGCCAAGCTGTAACAGAGCTCCCTCTCTGTTTTAGAGGAAGAAGAGATCACTTTTGCTCCCACCTACCGCTTCGAAAGGGGCACCCGGGAGAAGTACGCTTACACCAAGCAGAAAGCTACGGGGGTAAGTGAAAGCTGCTTTCCCTTCAGAAGTATATCGCAGAGCAGGGAAAGTAGCTCCTACAGATAAAGTGACCCAAATCAACCTCTCTGTTTTCTGCCCTCGTCGTGTTTTGAAAGGGATCAATACAAACAAAAAGGTTTGACACAAGTCTGTGGTGCTCGGGCAAGTGATTTTCCTGTTCTCCTGTGAAGTGGGCCTTTCCCTTCTTCTTGACACCGCTTCTCCTTTGGTTTGCAGATGAAGTACAATTTGCCATCCTGGTGTGATCGAGTGCTCTGGAAATCGTACCCCATGGTGCACGTCGTGTGTCAGTCCTATGGTGGGTAGATAGCAGATTGTAGATAGCAAGGCAATCGGTCTGAAACGGAAATGATTCAGAGCAGAGTCTGTCGGATCTCCCTGCACTGCCAGGCACTCGGCAGAGAAGGACCCGATGGTAAAGCAGGCAGAGTGGAGCCAAATCTCTCTGCCTGTAACCTTTCGAGGTTGGGAGTTAATTCTGTTACTGCTTTATATGCAGAACAGCACTCAGACAGCTGCGGCTGTCCAGCTTTAGGCCACGCTGTGGGATCACTTCACACCAGTTATTTCTTGGCAACAACAGCCACTTTTCCTGTGCACTTACCAGCAGAAGCTCCTCACTTGATGGTGCAGCAGGGCAGGCTCTGTGTATGCAGTCCAGTCTGCAAACATCTCTTCTATCAAATCCTAGTCCAGAAGGACTCTGTGGTACCTGAGCCTGTTCCTTTTCACGCTGAAAAGTGTCACCAAAGTGCAGTGCAGGGAGGAGAGGAAACCCACGAGACCTGGTCAAAACAAGATTCAGATACGGTTTCTGAAATGTCATTGGCCATCTAGAATCACAGGGACATTTGCTTGGAAAAGAGCTTTAAGATCATTGAATCCAACCATAAACTGTGTCTCTGAGCACCTCATCTCCCCATCTTTTAAACGCCTCCAAGGATGGTGACTCCACCACTGCCCTGGACAGCCCCTTCCAACGCCTGACCACCTTTTCAGTGAAGAAACTGTTCCTAGTATCCAATCTAAACCTCTCCTGGTGCAACTTGAGGCCACTTAGTCTTTCCTATCACTTGTTACTGGGGAGAAGGGACCGACCTCCTCCTTGCTGCAATGTAGGACCAGGCATCTGAGCATAATGTTGATGGTTTCTAATGCATGAGGGCTGTAGAAGTCTTCTGGGGGATAAGCTCTGTGATGAGAGCAGTCCACCTTATGATGATATGTGTGGTCCAATAAGCATCTCTGGAAAGTCTGGCATCTGCCTTTATTTATGCACTGCCCTGCTCAATGGATGAGGCTTTGCTGGAGCTCAGTCTGGGCTTGGGTCCAGTCAAGGCCTCACTCACTCACTGCTCATCTCAGGCCACGAGAAGTGACACCAGGGTATCCTTGTGTGAATCCCTGAACTATTAGACTTTTAATTAGCTGTACGTGTTTCAGAGCCCACCAGGCATCCTGCAAATGCTTTTAGTGCCAGGGGAATCTAACACTGACAGCCACTTGCAGAATGATGTGGTAAAGTCGTGGCCATTCACCAAATCCCTCCATAATTTGACAAAAGAGCTACGTTCTGATACACCAGCATGAGATGATGCAGAGACACCTTTGACTGGAGGCAGTTACCACAGCGACAGCTATGCTTTCTGGAACATTACTGAACAATATTGCTGTTGCAGCGATGGAGCGGGGCAGGAGCACGGAGCGGTAACCGTCCTCCCTCTCTCGTTGGCAGGCTGCACCACCGACATCACCACCAGCGACCACAGCCCCGTCTTTGCCACCTTCGAAGTGGGAGTCACCTCGCAGTTCGTCTCAAAGAACGGTGAGTCTTCCCCTTTGCATATAAAATACAGCGCTTTGGGTATGCGGAAAGAAAAAGCTATTAAAGAGTCCACTCAAAAATGCCCTCTCCTTACTGAAAATGCCACCATCTTCCCCTCCTCTTTCCCAGACTCCAAGTACACGGATTCCCAAGGGGAGATAGAGTTCCTGCACTGCTACGCGACCCTGAAGACCAAGTCCCAGACCAAGTTCTACATCGAGTTTCACTCTAGCTGCTTAGAAAGTATGGCTTTGCCCGTCGTCATTCTTTCTGCCAAGGCTCGTTTGGATTAGTTCCCCTTCCTATTGCTTTGATCTGAATGAACAGCTCTGTAGATCACCTGTTCCAGTGCAGAAAAGGGACGTCCTAGAGATTTGTTGTAGTTGTCAGCAGCACAATCCAAACACAGAGATGTAATCCATGCATAGACACGTAGCCTTCCACCTTGTTTGGCAACCTCATCATCTCCTCCTTGGAGAGAAACACATGTGGTTCTTGCTTGTCACACCAAAAATCTCTATGGAGCAAACACCTGATGGATTGAGCCTCTAATGTTGCCTGGTACAGATCGATCAGGAGCTTCCAAAACAAAGCAGCTGCGTTATGCCAATAGAAATAATCTAATGGTTGGAAAAGAATGAGTCAGAGGATCAACTTAAAGCGAAAGGAGAGATCCTGTACATGGATTTTACTCCCCGTCCCTGCGCTGCAGGGCTGGGGCTCAGCTGTTTCTGGAGGTTGAGCCCCTACGTGCCCTTGCAGTGGGTTTTTTAAGCGGCTCCCCACAGCAGCACCGCTCCTGTAAGCGGGGCAGCGTGCCCGCGCTGTGTGCCTCAGCGCACGGCCGCGTGTCAGAGCGCTGTGTCACAGGCGGCTCCAGAAAAGATGATTTTTTGGCTGCGCCCAAATTTGCATAGATTTCTATGGAAACGGTGTATTACGAATCCTAAATTAGAATTTCAAAAGTGTGCTATCTTGAGTGGCGTAGGAAGAGCTGTCATGTTCTTATCCTCCAGTCCGTGCGTGCACCCAGCTTCCCAGTGCCAAGTTTAACTGTAAAATAAAACCCTTGAACAATGCTCCAGTAAAATCAGCCGCGAGTTTACTGTGTAAACAGTCACCCGAAGCTCAGGCTTTAAGCTCCTTAATACTTCAAAAACTTGTGGCCAAGTGGGAAAATAACCGTGGGCCTTTTGGAGGGCACCTGAGCTCCTTTCTCGTCACCTCGCAGGTTTTGTCAAGAGCCAGGAGGGGGAAAACGAGGATGGGAACGAAGGGGAGCTCGTGGTCAAGTTCGTTGACGCGCTTCCAAAGGTAAACTGGGACTGTGCTTCCATATCCACAGGGAAGAGAAGCCTTCCCCTTGCACCCCATGAGCAACCTTATGTCTTTTTCTGGTATAAATGCTCCTTTCAGGAACGTGCTGATGCTCAGAACGGGCTGTAAGAGTGCAGGATGGGCCTAAGCTGAGCAGAGCACGTTACAGGCAGGACGGGACTTCTCTTGCACACATTCTTCCATCCGTATCACGGATTTTGCTGGCCTGATGATGTCACTCAGGAGCACGACTTTTATTTTTCCCTCACTTTTTTAGTGAACGTAACCGTGCTGACAAGCCTTTTAAGCAGGTCCATTTTTATAAGTTTAACAAAACAGATGTGCTGGAGTCTCTTTGCTCTGTGTGACAGAGGTATTTTTGAGAAAAGTTGGCTGTGTATGTTCTACCTGTGTTAAAAAACCATCGATGGCCAGAAGTGGTGTTAAAGACAAGTCCTGTCCTTGCCATCCTGAGATCAGAGCTGTTCTCCAGTTCCTGGCATGGTGGGAGCTGGAGGAGCTCTCGGAGCCCTTGGATTTGGAGCAAATCTGAGTGTTAGCACCTTCTGAACAGCCCCAAAGAAGAACTGCTGGCTTGATAGCACCTTACACTGAGAGCTTGGGGAAAGACTCTGCAAGAAGTGATCGTAACAACAGCCAGACAGGGGTTTTGGAACAGGTTGTAGTCAAGGTCCTGATCACCTCCTCCTGAAGCAACTTCCAGCCTGCACTGTAGGAAAAACCCATGATGTGATACCCCACGGGTCTGCCCAGCTGAGTTCTGCTCCTCTGGGGCCGAGGCACAGGGATTGCTGTGTTCGTGCAGGCCACCTCTTGCACTGACCCTCATTAACTTGTCGTTGCAGCTGACCCCAATTATTTCAGACCCGGAATACCTCCTGGATCAACACATCCTGATCAGCGTCAAATCATCAGACAGCGATGAATCTTACGGTGAGTGCTTAGCTCTGAAGTTCTGCATGAGTCAAAAGCGAAGCGGATTTTTCCAAGCCGCTGATAGAGTGGGAGAGAACAGAAGTAACTCCTAGAGACCAAACATGTTTGATGCTCTGACTTCTGATTTAGAACTCAATACATACAAAAATACATCGTGGGCAATATTTTGTGGGATAACGATGATTAGAGGAGTATGAACTAGAAGCATCTATCCGTGTGAGCTTTGCCAGCCACAGAAGAGCAGTGGCTTCAAAAGAAAGTACTGTGCAGGAATGAAATCAGGAGTCAGTCATTTAAAATGGGTTTATTCAGAACATGTAAATCCTGTTTCGCTGCACTTAGGTGATGCATTTCTCCTGGCTATGGAAAAGTCATTGCCAGTGCTGCCTGCTTCCAAATTCAAACCAGCCAGAGACTGCAGTCCTTGTCCACAGCAGAGCCTTTGCCAAAATCCCATCAGCTGCAACGGCAGCCACCGGCTCCTGTTTTTCTTAACAGCCATGGGCGCC